AAAAAATGAACTTAAATGATTTTAGCATATGGCTGCAATATAAGAGAGTGAAAAATGTAAGGGGGTCTGAATACTTTCCATACCCACTGTATGTTTACATTGTGGTATTAAATAGAGGATCTGCATGCTGTGAGTGTCTGAGTGGTCTCCTGCCACTAGATGGTAGGCTATAATGAGACAAGTGTTATTAGTTTGGTATACAGAGCTCTTTACTGATTTCACTCTTAGACACAGTATGACCCAAACCACTGACACTGCCAACAGAGTGAAATTGTTTGCAGTTAATATGTGAAATGAATACATGAAATCATGAATGAATGAAAACAAACTTCAACATCAAATAAAACAAGCAAGGGTTCATAAAGGCTTTAAATAGTTCTAGCTCTTTACTGTGAACATTTCCAGTAGTAGTAAAGACTTGAATAGAATGGTATATCCATGTATTACAGTCCCCTGGCAGGCTGCAAGCCCACGTCACCACACACTGCAGCAGCATGCACTCCAGACCTTTGTGTTATCAGAACATCACAGAAGCCAGAGTATGCAAAGTTCAGAGCGAGAAGTGAAGTAAGGGAGGAAAGGGGAACCACACATACTGTCAGTAAAGCAGAAACAGGAAATATGAATGGTGTATGCCCAGTAGAGGTAAATATCATCACTCAATGTACAGTAGACTGCAGACATGTTCATTTTGACAGGAAAACATTTTATTCTGCTAGGAAACAAAGGACTGCAAAACATAACAGCTTTAAACATTTTTAAGTGCTTTATTAGCACAGCCATATATAATAAAATTGCTAAATTACCTTATTTTAGTATACACCAACAGCAAAATGATGTGTTTGGGGAAATACCCACTGAATTTGACTCACATGCAAGTTTCTACCTGTAAAACAAGTTAGACCAGTATGTGTATTTGCTCTCTTCTCTAGCTTCCCTATTGCTAATATCAGATCTGCATTTGATGCTACAATATAGGCCTTTGTCTCTCTATATTCAAAGCAGATGACATCATTTCTTCTTTACATATGCTGCAGAAAACTTCCTCCTGCTGCCTCTTCATACTTTATTCTATTACTAGAGGCATGTACAAATGTATAACTGCAATTTAAAAGTCCAAGAAGGGGGCAGCAAATTTGCTACATGCTTATTTTTGTTGCAATACTTATGTAATATGTATCAGTTTGCCACCAAATACATTTTTAAAAATCATTTGCACATCCCTGAAACTAATTAGTCACATGAAGACAGCAGTTTAATATATTTTATAGTTTTACACTCTTAACTCTACTTTAATTTATGTGTAGCATCAAACAGTGTTCAAGTAACAAATTTGCCTACCAGCACCACTAATGCCAGACTGTGTGCGTGTGTCTGATATCGCTCCCTCACTGACATTTACTATTACCTATATAATGTACACTAAGCAGTTCACTCAATAGTGAACAGTAAACTGAGATTTCAGATTCTCATCACTAGCAGCTGCAATGGTAATTTTCCACAAGATAAAACACAGAGGGCTGCATTGTGAGATTGTTAGCAGAAATTAATGTACATGGCATGTACACTACTTTTTATATTTCATAGTGGAACGTTTGAGTGCACCCTCACACACAGCCTATGTCTAGGCTGTGACCAGTAACTTCCTGGAGTCTTGCTGACACCATGAGGTCGCCAATTGGGAAGTCACATTAAGGGAGCAGTTGTGTTTTAGTATCCTGGGGCAAAAGGAGGAGGTGGCCTGTACTCTTGAGGTAACGCTCCATGTGTTAGCATCACATCAGTGCAAGTGTAGGAAAATGGTGCACCATCACAGGTCTGCTCCCCTGTGATCTCCAAGTACTCACTCTCAGCACTTCCTCTTCTATCAGTTGTCTCCATATTAATCTCCGCATCTCTCTGAGATACACTTCTCTTCTTCTGGAATTTCTTCTTGAGGTTCTTCAGGTTGGTGACGACTGACGGCTTTGCCTCCCGGTTCTTTACGGGGTGAATGTTGACACCAAGTGGGTGTTCAGCGGTGGTTTGTGCGAAAGAACTTGTAGACGCAGAGTCTGTTCTGATACAAACCTGGTTGTTCTTCACAAGCACACTATGAGAAGGGGCTTCAGGAGGCTGGTTGGCTGAAGTGCTGTCAGGTGAATAACTCTTCCCGGTCACTGGCACAGGCTACAGATCATAAACATGAAACATAAATATTCGTTAGAAAATAAAACTACTTGCAATTTAATTTTAAAGCTACTTAAGACTTGGTTTAAAATTTCATACTTTTAAACCATTAAGTATTCATGACTACTTAAAGGATAAAGCCGGTCATTTTCTATATTCACAATATTATCAACAGTCCCCATACAGAGACTAAAACCAACAATGAATTGCCTCTGTTTAGGTTTAATGTCCCTCAGTGTGTCAGCCCTGGATCAGCTTATTTGTCTGTGCCATAGACCTCTGTTATTGTTCAAAAATGAATAAAAACACATCAATGAAGCGTGTCGCCTCACTGGGTGACATGTTTCTTCATTAGCAAACCCCAAGCCTGAGCATGATGATTCAGCAGAATGTAAACAAAACAGAGCGCTCACTCAAGAGTTTGTGCTTGTGCAGTTGATTGTTTCATGCTAACTTCAGAAGATTATGACTGCTCTGAGCCTTTGGGGCAGCATAGCGGGGTCTGGGGTTTCATAATGGAATAACATGTCACATAGTGCAGTGGTGTGTTTCCCTGATGTGTTTTTAGTCATTTTTGAACAACAAAGGAGGTCTATTGCGAAACCAGGACTGGCAGCTGACAGACATTAACCACGAGTAGAGACAATTCACTTTTGGTTTAGCCTTTCTATGGAGACAGCTGAAAATAATATTAATATAGAAAATGGCCGGCCTTATCATTTAACAAAGAGAAGTCAAGTTAAATCATCTTGAATAAAACGTTTAGAAACCAGCATCTTGCCAATTAATAACAGGAAACTGGTTCCAAAAATAACTTCTGAAAATGTCTTGAGAACCACTTTGATCAGAAAACATTAGGGTATTATTTTAAGGATTTTAAGAACAGTCTGCTGAGGAGGATCCTTTACCATGGTAGTAAGTGGGGAGGTGACGTGTGGAAGTTCATTTTCCAAACATGGATAAAGTCTGTTTGGTTGGCTGCTTGGAGACAGGACTGCAGAGTTTGTCAGGTTACAAGGGCGAAAAGGAAGGGCAGGCAGGGTATCTGTGTGTGACACTGGACAACTCATGTTGGACTGCAGGTTGTTTTGTAGCAAACTGGTGTTCGAATGTCTTTGGGGCAACAGGAGTTCTGCATTGTCAGCGTTGTCATTTGAAGACTTAATAAGATCAGAAAGAAAATGAGACATTTTGTGATTGTTGTCATTGTCATTGCATGGTGTACAGGTGACAAACAAACAGGCAAATATTGAGGCTTAAGAAAGTAAAGGAGACTGGTTCTGTTTCAACTCTAAGTGCATGTACAGTAAATACCTAAAAGCCAATGGTTTATTGTAATGCACGCAGCTAAACTGAGGCCATTTCACACTGTATATTTAACAATAAATTTAAATGCTTAGTGCAATAGATGGGCTACAATATGATAACACCTGTATACAGGTAGGATAACAAACACATTCCCACACCTGTCCACAAGCGACAGTCAGCACCTCACTGAAAGGCATGATGGGAGTCCTACGATGAAAGTCGACCAGGTCCTGCAGAAACCGGTGACGCCTGTTCTCCCCTACTATAAGGTAATGGCCGTCCTCCAATGCATCAATCATGAAATGCCTGCAGAGGTCCTCAGCACTGAGGGATCAGTACACAAGAAGGAATAAGACAGGACTGAACTGTGTGCGAGTGTAAACTGTAAAGAAACTATTAAAGCCTTTAATCCTGCAAACACTCACCGATATGAACGAGTGTAACCGATCCTGCTCTCACTGACTCTGATGAGGAAGTACCCAGGAGGCTTGGACATTAGCAGCTCCTCCGCAGTCCTGCAAAAATTAATTAACATGGTCAAATTACCACAGTTAGCTTGACCCAGTTTTCTAAGATAATCACTGAGGGATTTCATCATCTTAGCTTTCGATATGTTACAGATGGTTTAATAAACGTGATGGTTTTCCTAGTCAGTAAGGAAAACTGATGGAGTACAACATAATCACCATACAGTACACAAAATCGTGAATGTATACAGCGGGAGGAAGTATAATTTCATTTAAAGTCGAAACATATGCTGCTTTAAAGTTTTACAAGGGTACAGTATGAAGTTACTTCAGTTACTATTTGTGATTAATGTGTAACTATTTTGCTTATCTGCTTTGCTTGTTACCACCACTTAAAGGCACTGGCTGCATGCTACACAGGGGTCAAGGAAAATTTTGACTCTTGTTTTACATGGTTGTCAAGAGCTTCCTGACAAGTATTAATTCCTGAAAATATGACATTTTGGAGATTCAAGATTTTGCTTCTGTCCTTTGTTTGGGCTCCTCTAATTTATTTTTTCTTATAGTATTTTTATGGCTCACCTTTGTCCTTTGTTGTGAAGCACCTGTAGTCAGCATGTACTACTTTTTTTAGTTTACTAGTTTTTAGTACGACACTATAAAACCATTTGTATCATATTTGCTATGCAAGTTTTTGAGCAAATAAAAATCACCAAAAATGCCCCATGTATCAAATAAATATACAAAATAATATGGCACATTTATTTCTATATGCCTGGACTGTCTCTCTATGCATAAATGGCAAATAAAAATCTTGAATCTTAAATTTCCTTTTGGATTTTGTTAAAAGGTTTAATAAACATCCCAGTTCCAAAAAATTTCAATGTTCTGGCTATTTTTAGATGTGTCAGGCTTTACAGGGTTAAAGGTTTTACACATGAAACAATCTACTAAACACAATCAGTGCATGCTGCAGTACTGATAACTATGTTTTAAAACAGCCCTTCACATCTTCACTGTGAGACATCCACTGCTGTAGATAGTGGACACTGATATAGACTTCATCCACTTACTTCCTGGAAATGATCCCATGAAACCATTCCGGGACTATACCATTCCCAATCACAGACTGGAGCTGGGTCTCTGTGAACCAGGTGACAGCGACCTGTTGTCCTTGTAACAACTGGCCCCATTCCATCATTTGGGGAAGTGCCTCATTCAGTCCTTTGTTGTGTCAGAGACATGCAAATGCATAATTTACAACTCACCGATTTCAAACAAAGAGCACATTTAGTACATACAGGACAAACCACATATGAGCTATCAGTAAACAAATTCCTGCAAATAGGCTGATGTACCATGGATAACTTGCAGTCTGCGGTACTGTGAACTTTGACCCTCAGTTGAAGTTGTAGTTTAATACAAAAAGGAACCAGTCATTTTTCCCCTCACAAAGAAATTGCATATTTTCTCAAATTTCAACATCATGAAGACAATTTATATGAAATATAGCCTATATAGAATATTCCATTTAATTAGTGAACCAGCCAAACTTGCTTAAAGGCCCTTTCACACCAGACGCGAATTTAACGCGCGATTTATTCGCGCGTCAATAATATTTTTCGAACCAATAACTTGTCAATGATACATTGCACACCGCCGACGTAATTTCGCGACGCGAAAAGCGACATTAATTTTTTTCGCCTCCGGGTCGATTTTTCCAACTCGTCGCGGCGACGGCAGCACCTCTGACCAATCACAATGCAGCTTGTTGACACGTCAAATT